TATATTTTGCTGACTTGTGTACTTACATTATCCCAAATGTTTTGAAGAATGTTTAAATCCAGAGAAATAAGCAATTTTAACTAGTGGCACGGACTGTGTCCATAGTGTCATTGTGTCGACTGCAAATGACGTCATAACCCCTCGATTTTGTTTTGTAGAAAACATGGAAACACCAAAGACGCTTTAATATGTTGTGCGTTTTAATAGACCAGTGACGACTGCACAGAGCATTATAACAGAACTTTCAAATGTATCTAGTATGATAAAACAGCGCTGCTTTTTTCCCACATACGCACAACCGGAAGGAGCGGAAGCTGTCGACTGTGGCATAATAAAAGCTCCGCTGCTTTCGAGCCGTGTCACGCTCGTTCAGCGGCCTCCTTTCAGCCTCACCCTGCTTCATTCTTCTACATTAATAAATCATTAGCTCATCCATGAACATGATTTCTGCCCGTCGGATTCCCGTCGGATTGCATCGGCTGTGGGGATGAAGACGACAACTCCCATGATTCCACACTCAGTCACGGCGTCACCTTTGTCTCTTTGTTTATTTTGAATACGCACCCTCTAGTGGCGAAAATTACATATTGTGCCTTTAAAAGGTGCTGTATGTAAGTTTTTGACTCTACTAAAGCATAAAAATACCATAATATGTTTGCAGATACTTAAGAAACATGCTACGTTAACATACTTGTTTATCTGAAAAACAATGCTACAGTCAGTTATTCTCCTTTGAAAATGTGCGTTCTGGGCCGGAATGTGGGTCTCTGTTTTGGTTTGTGAAACCCGCCCACTGCCAGTTTACCCAGTTGTATTTCGGCACCCCGGGTTGCCAGTTGGCGGAAAACACAGCCTATTTCATTTCATTCATCGTCAAGTGAGCTCGTTCCTGTTGGTGTCGTCAATCTGGCAACCTGCGTGTGCGTCAAGTCTGAGGAGGAGTGGCCGGGTGAAAAAAACCCTCTCCAAGATTTTGAATTTGGACTGCAATACCTAGTTCAACCACTCGGTGTCAATCCTATATATAGCACCTTTAAGTAAAAAAAAAAAAAAACCTTGCACAGCCATGGTCAAATTGAAGCCATTTCACAGTAAATACATAAAATATTGAGATTGATACTTATATTTATTAATTTATCATATTAATTAAAAAAAATACAGATATATTTATATTTTTGGAAATTTCACCCAGTCTTAGCATCTACTCGAAAGATCAAGTCCTCATGAAAGCTCCCATACATCTCTCAAATATAATCTCATATATCTCATATAATCTCAAATACAGTCCTAAGTATTTCTCAAAGCACATTCATGACAACAAATATAAAAGCCAGACTTGCACACCAAACTATAGCTTTTAACGACAAAAATAAATTTGCAAGACCCAATATACTGATCTTCAGAGAATATGATATCTGTTACATATAGTAGTGGAAAGAGTAAAAAAAAGCAGTGTGAAATGAAAAAAACAGCAATGTGTGTGTGGGTTATGAAAGGCCAGTGGGAAACCAGGACCAGTCTCTGGTGCATCCTTCAATAAAACAGAATCTCCTCTGTTATTCCAATGAAATGAACATCATTTTGAAACTCTATTTTATGTACCCACATGCACACACACCCTAAGTCTCTGCTGAGCGTGCAGCTGCGGTGATGTAAGCAATTAGGTGATTAAATGAAATCATTGCAACAGTCGTGTGAAATCCCCTCTGTTGTTTAATCTGGATTGTCTCTGTCAAGACTAAACTGGTTTTCCAAGACTTTGGCATCTCATCTGAATTACTCAAATCAGTAGAAAAAAAGCATGTCTGGGTCAGCTTGTGGTGTGTGTGTATGTGTGTGTCTGTGCGTGTGTGTGTGTGTGTGTGTGCGCGTGCACAAGTGTGTTTCTGCCATTACAATTAACACAATTTAAAGGCAATCAGTGACATTTGAGTCCTATTACTGCTGCATTTATATTCAAATAAAAACTGATGTGTGTGGCTATATGATATCATGTATGCGTGTGCCATCATAAGAATAAATAGTTCAAGTAGCTATTACAGGTTGGAGCGAACAGTCTGTGAGCTTTCCAACTCTTTTGCTCTTGCACAGACTATATATCTCAAAAGAAAGGCCACCACATGCAACTTAACCGAGCCCGACATCTTTTGTTTCAGCCTGCAACAAAGTTTCCATTTGGTGTCTGTGCAACAATTTATGGCCACCAATAACATCAGCTTTGGAGGTCTAAATGCCTGTTTGACTAACTCAAAGTAGCTGTTCGACAGAAAACAGCAAAATAGGATTCATTCCACCAATGCAGATGCTTTCTGACTCCACTGTAGAGCTTTAACCTAATGAGAAGGTCTGTGAAAAAAAAAACTTAAATGTCGTCAGCTGTTCACCAAGCCTGTTTTGTTGGTGTTAAGAAGGGGTTTTGGGTACCATTAAATCAGCTGGTCAGGCAAAGAGACCTGTTACACCAGCTTAAGACCATCTTAGCCAGTCAGGGAGACTATCTAAACCAGCTTAAACCATGCAGATGCTTTCTGACTCTATTGTACTTCTTCTCTGTAAACCTTTAACCATACAACTCATGAGAAGGTCTGAGAAGGTTGGCTCCTCCCAAGGTTTCTGGTGAAAAAACATAATTTAAATGTTGCTGTCTGCTTTCCAAGACTGTTTTTATTAATTTAGACAGGTTTTGGATACTTTTAAATCAGCTGGTCAGGCAAAGAGATCAGTTAAACCAGCTTGGCCTGGCTGGAAGACTATCTAAACCAGCTTAAACCATGCAGGTGCTTTCTGACTCTATTGTACTTCTCTATAAACCTTTAACCAATACAACTCATGAGAAGGTCTGAGAAGGCTGGTTCCTCCCAAGGTTTCTGGAAAAATAAATAAATAAATAAAATGGCATTGGCTCATCTCCAAGCCTGTTTTGATGGTTTTAGAGAGGCACTATTAAATCAGCTGGTCAGACCAGAAGACCAGTTACACCATATAGGACCAATCTGGCAAGTCTAGAAGACCAGATAAACCAGCTAGTAAACCATGCCACTGAACCATAAAACAACTACATAAGATGACTGTGAGTCAACAGCCATCAATGACAGCAAAAGCCACTATTGAATATAGCACATCACCACAGCCTGAGCCTTCAGATATGTCATATTTGGGGTGAGAAAATCTGCTGCTCAATACAACACCCATTTAGTGATATAAATAGATGGGATTACATGAATCACAGAGAGTTCCTAACAGCTATCTCCTGCAGCTCATCCCTCCAATACTCTTCTTCTCTGGTCTACAGGAAGCTTTGTATTCAGCCTAATAACATGCTTCTGTAAACTGGCCACACTCATTATCAGCTGAAGTAGTAAATATGGGATATGACATTCCTCCATGCTGAGGAGTAAACATCACCTACACACCGCAGCCTCCCTTAGAAAGCATCGACTGATGCAAGCTGAAAAGAAAACTTTATTTGGTGAAGAAAATAGCAGTGCTTGCAAGAAGAAGTTTTAGGTAAGCTTAGGTTTTACTCTTTGGTTTTACACAAATTAAATGGCATTTGTTGTCATGTCACTCAGCACTCGACTTGTCTGTGAATGAGAATGAACCCTGATGTAAACTTTTAGGCTAGAAGCTGATGGATAAAAGGGTCAATAACAGATAAAGAAGTCTGAGATAATAAAAAGGAAGACTTAAAATCTAGATAAAAATGCAGTTTCACACATTTTTGAAATTTTGATTTAATGGCTCTAAACTAAAAAGTAATACCATATTTTCCATCTTCAATACATGTGAGTGAGTACATGTACACACATCTTCATCATTATTTTTTAACAGTTTTCAAATAATAAAAGAATAATGTTTAACATGTAAGTCACCTTGAATAAAAGAGTCTGCTAAATGATTAAAATGTAAATAATATAATTCTGTATGAATTCTGAATATCATTGTTTTCTTGTTGTTCTACCATTTGACAATTGAGCACCTGAATGAAGATGATCATGTTATTTAAAGGGTCAAAATATCGAATATTTTAAAAGATCTATTGATCTCGGCAAACAATTATAATGTCATACATTTTGGTTACACCATGTTGATTTTGTAGACAACATGTTTAAAATAGGCTATATATTGATAATTTTATTTAGAACATTTTAAACAATATTTTACAATATTTAATATTGCAAAGCTGCTTATTTTTCAAGAAATAATATTAAGCATTTCTGCCTTTTAGTACATTGTTTTCTTTACGATCACCACCAGTTATGCCAGCTAGACATTTATTTTTACTCTATGCCACACACACACAAAATAAGAATTTTATTTTAAAAACTGAAAACATGTAGAAGTGCATTTAAGTCATCGAATATATTAAATGCATTATTAGATTAGTACAAAAAAAACAAAAGAAAAAGCATGTTTTTGATAATGTAATAAGAGTCTGAGAGAAGGAATAGAATAAACTCAAGTTATAGGCATTTACTCATGACTGTTTTGGGGGGTTTTTTGTCCTGGCTGGGTGTGTGTGAGATCAAACTATGAACAAACTCATTCATTATAATCAAAAACTCCACGTGAGCACAAATGCACATGCCTTGGGAATGTTACAGACATAAACACTCTCAAGAAACACTTCATAGTCTGTTTTATTAACTTGTAACAGCACGAGTGGCCAAAGGCTGGTTGCAAACTAGGCTACATCGTTGCTCTTCCTTTACTGTTTATTTAACAAACAGCAACACAAAACATTTTCATACACCCACATTAACCTACTACTAAAAACACAGTGATGGGACAAGTAGGCACTGCTGGCATTACTTTTGGCCAAAAATGGGCATAACGCACAGGTGTGTCAGACTGGATAATGTCAACATTAACATATATGGACCCTCTGAACATCCCACCTAACACTGCAGTTTGAGATATGTGAAGCATGAAGACATAAGCATGATGACACATGCCATATGAGCCAAACCGGAGTCAAACTATATTATTATCGATCCTACCTTGTGACTGTCCTTCTATTGACCGCCCGAGATTTTCACTTTAGAGTGTTCAAAGCCGGTACATCACATCACATCGCTGCGCTGCGCCTCCAAACTTCGTAAACGCTCCCAAAAGTCTCTCCTCCAGAACTTTCATTCTCCGTCTCGCCGTCTTTAGAGCGTCCAGTCCTGCTCTGAGCTCAGCAGACGTTGCAGCGGATCTCCATTCAGTAAATTCATCCTTTATTCCTTTAAAGAGCCAAGCGCTGGGGGTCAGATTACGCCGGGAGCCAAACCCCCTGTCTGCTAGCCATGTCCGATTCGAGAATGAATTTTTCCATTGAGTCGAATCCTTAAAATGAATCGTTTGCACGCAGAACGATTCGCAATGAGATGAAAATAAGGAAATATCCTAATATTTGAGCTAAAAGTATATTAACCTAATACAGAAATGTAATAGGATATAGCCTACAAATAAAACGTAGCCTATTGAATAGCTACACGTTTAGGAGACTTGAATCAAACACATATCAAAATCTAGTCTAGGCTTCTTGATGTTTGAACTGGTGGAACTGAATCATGCCTCACAACATACTGCACTTAATCTGGGGGGGGGGTAATAATAAGCCATGTGTGCTACATATGTGTTTAAGAGCCTGTAATGTGCCACGCCGTGAGGACGCAAAAGAACCACTGAATCATTTTGGGTCGGTTCATTGAGAAGAATTGTTCGAAAGAACCGATTCTCACAGCCAAATCACTACTTTCTGCGTGTGTGTATGCCCTGAACACACAGGAAATTGCATCAGGGGCCACTAATGTCCCACTCAGAAGTTCTCAAAGTTTTCTGACTAACTCTGAATAACTGTAATTTGGTTAAAAAGATTTTGGATGGAATTTTGAGGGTGAATGTCACGAAGAAATGGTCATCCAAAAATCAACATAAAAATTAAGACGTTATATTTTGCATAAAGAAAATGAAACCCAGTACCATTCAAATCGTGTTGCACTACTATCAATACTGTAATGCAAAAACATTCTATTCTGATGCAAAATATAAAAAATGTAAAGTTGAAATATGACCTTGAATAGGCTACTTTGTATTCCTTGTAGTCCAAAAATGATCTCAGATCTCAGAATTGATTGCTAAGGAACAGATATTGCAGAGATTTTGTCTGGATATCTAGTTTATTGTCCTTATATAATCTTTTCAAAATGAATGAAAATCTTTGCCATGTAGTGCCAGCAGTTTGCAGTTACAATGAATCATTACAGGCCAATAAAAAGTTTGTAGGAGTGCAATTAGGAAGTTTGTGAGGGGAGTCTGCATGCTTGAATTGGCTTCCTCAAAAAAAAAAATTTACTTCTTGAGCATTAAGCTATAGCTTTAGCTCCCGGAACACATTTGCAATTACATCTATTCATGTAGCAGAGCAACATGTAGTGCAGTCAATGTACATTCCTGAATCAAACGAATAACCTTTATACATTCAAATAACTGTAGCTAATATTGAGCTACAGAAACTCTGGATTCAGGATTTCATCTTTCATTTGTCAGTCTTCTGTGTATCCTAATATTCTGAACATTGGGTTTGTTTTCTCATAAGGAATAATATGGTTACCTACAGTGCCGCTGCATACAATTATCAGCTATTTTCTGTGGGTTGTTTGCTGTGGCTTTACGGAGCAACACCCTATTGTATGAAGTCCAAAATTTAACTATGGGCCAGCTGCAGATGTTTGGATTAAAATAAGAGGACAGGCATACCACATCTCTCTCTCTCTCTTTCTCCATGCCTCCAGTGTGTGTGTATAGCATGTAATGTTGAGGTAATTGTTAACCCCGCCCTGTTGTGTACAGCAGAGAAACGTGACTGCTCTGTCATGAACCACTGCAGCCGATGGAGAACTGAAGTCATGCTTACAATTTCTTTTTTTTTTTTATTGTCTCTACAATTCATTGCAATATTTCACAATGGCAGTATTAATAGCAAGGTATGTTACTGCATCTGCATGCATTTGATGCACAGAAATTTACAAACATACATAAGAACAAATACATAAGATAAGAAGAGATCAATTATAACTTTAGTGATCCACAAAGTGAAATTTGCACTGCTGACCCAGCAAAGGACCCAATATGACATCATCACACAGCATATGACTAAAAACAATATCAAAGCAGAGCATGTGTATATCAAACAGTAAAACAGAGCAATAAATAAGAATAGATAAACAAAACAAGAAATAAAATAAGACAAAATATCACCAATTCATGAAATTTCAATTATATTCATTTACCGAAGCCAGAGGTGCCAAATATTTAAATATAAAGGACCAAAAATCAAATCTGATTGAGGGTCACAGGCCAAAAGTAAATGTTGCATTATCTACAAATATATTATATTAAAATGTATTACATTTTTATATTTGAATACATTTAAAGAGGTCATATGATGCGATTTAAATTTTTCCTTTCTCTTTGGAGTGTTACAAGCTCTTGGTGCATAAAGAAGATCTGTAAAGTTGCAAAGACTAAAGTCTCAAATCCAAAAAGATATTCTTTATAAAGTTAACAGTCAGCCACGCCTACCTAAAACGTCTCGTTCTAACACGCCCCCACATATCTACATCACTATGTGGGAAGATTTGCATAACGCCGCCCAAATGTTCACATCGCAAGCCCGCTCACTCAAGCCGGCCTCTGCTAATTCTAGCCCCCAGCCTCTGCTCACTCTAGGCCACCGTGTATGACGCTGTGTTACGTTGTGAAAGCGAAACTACTTTGTTTGGTCTTCCAAAAATTGACACGACTAGAAATCAGTGGTTAAGTTGTATTTACAACACTGTTCCAAAACACTTCAACCCAAATATACAGATGTGTTCAGCACATTTTATGGAGGACCGTTTCCTGATCCTGGGAGAGTAGACTAAATCATCGCTCTGGCCGGACAGGGCATCACAGTATGGTGAGGGGCGTAACATTTCCGTCACACGCTTGAGGTATTCAGCCAATCACAACGCACTGCATAGCTGGCCAATCACAGCACACTTCGCTTTTTCAGACCGAGCTTTGTAAAAATTGACGCGTTTCAGAAAGGCGGGGCATAGAGGAGAAACAATAATGTACAGTATGTGGAAAATAATGTTTTTTTTAAACCTTAAACCGCATAAACACATTTCATTACACCAAATACACAAAATAATGTTATTTTTAGCAGCATCATATGACCCCTTTAAATAACATTTTTGAAACTTTTCACTTATTGTTTTTTTTGTTTTTTTTACATTTTAATGCAAGGTTCAATGCAAAAAAATACAAATGAAAATAAATTACATGTTTTAACACCTCACAATGCAATGCGTACTTCAAAATACGGGGAAAATACTTGTAAAAAAATCCATGCCAAAAATTCCTTCATGTTAACACAATACATTGGGTCATATTTTTATAGACTTTTCTTATGTATACTTTAAACCTAAAACATTCCTTATAACAAATGTGGAAGAGAAAATAAGAAAAAAAAGGAGAGAGAGAGAGAGCAAGGGGTCCACTGCTCTCAGTCAAAACAAACCATGACAACTCAACATGTAATGATTCACTTGACTGTGGACTACCAGGAAAAAGAGAGAAGAATTTAAATAAAGTTTGACTGGAGTGAAACTGGTTGTGTGAGCATAAATTACAGTCTGTTCACGTGCAGGTTATCTGCATGAATTCTGTATTTTGAGTTAAAGTGATTCAGTCAAACACAAGTGAATGCCGCAGTGGACTGACATACCCTCCACTCACATGCCACTGTCATCACCCAGCACAGTAACTTTAAAAACCACATAGAGTGAATTCCATTCGAAAGTGAGCGTCACTAGGCCCTACTTACTCTGATGAGCTCTTGAAGAGATGCAGGGCATTACTGTTTCGTATGTGACCATTTGAACACCATTTGAATAGCTGTTAAAATTGTTGCAAATAAAACTTTTACATCTAATACTCAAACTGAAATGTACTTTTCTTGGTATGAATAAACAACTATGAATATGTAAATACTGTATGTAAGGAAAAACTTCCACTGAGTTCTTGAGTGTATATCTCAAATAAATGACCTTATTTTTCTTAATGAATTAGATAAAACAACAGGGTTGAGTCTGAGTCAAAACCGAACCCCTGACAAGACCAGAGACTTGGACTCTGACCCAAGGACTAAGACCAAGACCATGCAAATATGGTCTTGGACTCTGTCTCGAGGACCAAGACAATGCAAATATGGCCTTAGACTTGGTCTTGAAGACCAAGACCATGAAAATATGATCTTGGATTCTGTCTTGAGGACCAAGACCATAACCATGAAAATATGGTCTTAGACTCGGAGTCAAGAACCAAGATCATGAAAATATGGTCTTGGACTCGGTCTTGAGGACCAAGACCAAGACCATGAAATTATGATCTTTGGAGTCAGCATTGAGGACCAAAACAAATTTCTTAAAAATATGGTCTTGGACTCGGACTTCAGGTTTAGACTTGAGGACCTGACCAAGATGTCTGGATCATGTGGACAAATAAAGTGGTCTTGACAACTACACTGGCTATAGGCCTCACTTTCATTTGTAAGAACACTTTGGATATTGTCTCCTTCTTGCTGTGACCTTGAAGGGAGCAAAAATGCCATTTGGAATTCACTCAATCTCTTTCCATCACTTGTACATCTGTGTCTTTCACTCCTTCTCTCTGTTGTCTGGTGAGGATTTTATTGCCATTTGGCCAGGCTCTCTGGAACCTCAGAGGGAGTGGATCATGATGGAAACTCCTTTTTTCTTTTTTTTTTCTTTTTTAAATGGAGAATCTAGTGCAAACCATGTTTAACAACAACAGCATGTAGCAGCAGCCCAGAGTCAAAGAATTTGAGGATTACTTTTAGCAACAAAGGTGATACATTCATATGCAATTCCATTTAATTAGCTAAATAACCATATACATCTCTTGTTATCTATTTTCTCCTCTCTCTGACAAGCCTTGGCTGACTTTCTCTGAACGTGAGCTTTGTGTTCAGCAGATAACTGAGTACATGGATTTTAAAAATGGATTTTGCACGTCATGGGACTTTTTAAGTTTGAATAGTCAATTTTTATTGTCTAGTTCTTTATAAAGCAATTGATTAATTACTGAACAGTTGATTGTTACTGGTCTAAATCAAAAGAGCCCATATTCTATTATATTTTAGTTCCTACATGATTT